ACTTGGTTTAGCCCGTGGTTGGTCGAGCTTGGGTGCCCTCAGCCAATAGGAAGCGTTCTCTCTCTGTCCTTGTCGCACACTAGTGCTTTCCTTGTCTGATACCTCTGTTTATATTCTGTTATCCTATTAACAAATCGTTACTTCGCGAATCCAAACGCGAGATGGCGTTAGCCTCGTTCTCCACTTTTTTCCTGTCCTTGTCTATCCCTATTGCTTTCCTTGTCTAACACAGGGTACAGTTGCTATCCTTGTCTGCCGCTATTCCTTTCCTTGTCTAACACATGGTACTAATGCTATCCTTATCTACCCCTATTTCTTTCCTTGTCTAACACGCGGTACTGTTGCTATCCTTGTCTACCGCTATTCCTTTCCTTGTCTTACTCATTTCTGCATTACTAAATACCTCGACGAGTTATCAACATCTTCCAATAAGAGTTCAGTGCAAATTTAATCATAAGGAGTCAACCAAGATGAATAATTTTAATAAATTCCATTCTCTATCGGATTTGATTTCATAAAACAGGAAAAAAGAAACACGAAGCGTAGACGGAATTTCCGTATTTGCTAAGGAAGTTATATCACTTAGCGCGGTGGAACATTTCAGTGTTACTTTTTTGTTTTTGTAATATACAGTTTTTGTAATATATATCCGGTAAAGGATATCCTAACAGAAAACATAGACGAATGACGCATGAAAATAAAAGGAAGAGAGGAATGATAGGAAAGAGAAAGAGGGACGATACTTCAGGGAGCACAAGAGTAAAGAACGTAAACAAGAGCGTACTGCGAAACTCCCGGGAGAAACAGTGGGATCACTTGCGAAGTTTTTAAATAAACGAGATTTTCTTGCAAGAGAGATATAAATATTTTGTCGAGATTCGGTATTCGAGGGTAATTTGTAGTTGAGTTTTTTTCGTATTAAACGTGATACGTATGAGGTATAATTTGTGTTAAAAGGCAAGGAAAAAGAAAATGAAAAGGATTAGTTCAAAAAAGTCTTACGACTCGGCGTTAACTTGTGAGTGACTTCTTTAATGAAAAAAATTAACAGTTTATACGAATCATATCGAATTGTATCGATTTCAATTTGTTTATAACGTTCAGAAGTTCAATATTTTCGCGTAAAGTAGAGAATTATATTTTTTGTAGACGAGGAAACGAATACAGAAGAAAATTTAAATAATGCCCTACTTATATCTACTGACGAGAAGGTTTTATCAAATTCGGTTGACGAAATATTTGATGGCACAAATGGATCTCATTCTGTATCGAAAAACGTCGATGTTGACAGGCACCTTTCAGACATATTTGAATATACTGATAGCACAAAACTAATTTCTTTTTCTTGTACAAAAAGTAATTCAAACAAGAATGACAAACATGTCAATGATTCAGTGCAAAATTTGAACAATCTACAATATCAACAAGACACAAATGCAGAAGAGGAAAATCATGAAACAAATAAATATGTTCCATTAAGGGTGCGATTAAGACGTATGTTTGATGAAATTTTAGGAAAATACAATAATCCTGTGAAAGAATCAAATGCAACTTGTTCTACTAGAAATTCAGTCAACGAATGTTCATTAAATAATAGTAATTTGTTGATAACCAAGTTAGACAATACACATGAAACACATAATAATGATTCATTGCAACTTGTACAGAAACCTAATTATACAGTTATAATGTCAATTAAAAATATAAAAGATTCTGGCAACACTAAAGTTTTATCTTCACATGATACGTCAATGTCTTTTTTAAGTGGATTTGTTCCTAATAATTTAGTTACAATATTAGAAAATTCCAATGAAGATACTAGTAATTCAGAGATATACAGATCTTTTGATTGGTCAAAAACATACATAGGCAAATTACCAAAATTGTCTCCTGATAATGTAATGGGTAAATATTGTACAAGTAAAACAATATTTACTACTAGTGACATAAATGACAGTGAAACTAGTTTATCTTCAAATATATCTAATGACATTGAAGTAATAAGTAAAGAAATTTTTCAAAAAGCAAATAGCTTACAAAGTAATAATCTTTTGAATTTTGTTTCTCAGATTGAGAAGATAGATAATGGTAATAATGTAAACAATGAAGATTGAAAA